CCCCAAAACCCCAAAACCCCAAAACCCCAAAACCCCAATTTACAATTTTGTTCCTGAAAATTATTAATAAAATATTTGAGATTATGAAAGCGAGGCTGACTAATTATAATAAGTCTGTGTGGAAAGGAAAAGATAGTGAAGCAGTAGGATACTACGGACTCAGCAGCAAGAAGAAATCCTCATTGAAGAAGGAAACTACAAAATCTGAGAAATCAACAAAAGCTCCTGCTAAAACGAAACGGAAGAAGACTCAAATGGAAGCAGAGAGAATTCAGGCAAATCCAAAAATCATGAATCAAGTTATGGAGATGTTACTCAAGACAGACTCCAAGGAGAAAAACCAGAAGAAAACTCAGGAGGAGGAAGTAAAAGCCGAGCAAACAAAGCAGCAGGAAGTAGAAAGAAAAGGTATTTTGTTCATAAAATTCATTTAGAAATTGATCTGTGCACTCAGCCAGAAGGGTATGAAGACTTGATCCTTGAGCGCAAGGTCACCAATCTGAACATTCTTAATGAAAAACAAGAGCTCCGAAGGATCAAGACTGAGTACGATGAAGAGAAGATCTCCATTCAAAGAGAAGCTTCGAGCAAAATTGATGAATTAGAGCGCCAGAAAGGAGTATCCTTCCAGTCTAAAGTCATGAAGAAGTTCCAGTTAGAAGATAAAGAAGGAGATTTTGGGTTTAATGATAAAACTATCCCTTCTACATATACTCTATCGAGATGGGAAAAAAAGAATATTGTGGAGAATACTATAAAATCGTTAGAACCAGAAGCCCCAACTGACTTTTATGATCTTAAGTTTGACTCACAAGGGGTATACTCTTGGTCATGCCAGGCTAACCTACAGAGTGAGCTGGAGAAGGTCAAATCAGATCTAGGTGATAGAGACTATAACAGACTCAGAGAGTTGTTTGAGTACTATGCTGCAGTGATAAATCCATTGCAGATGGGTAAAATTGAAAGTTACCAGTTCCATCTTTTCTTAAAAGATCATGATTTATACACAGAACAGATGGATAGAACCCAAGCGACTCTGAAACTGAAGAAGGCTGCATCCAATAGTGCTCCAAGTGACTCTAACGGTGCTAGTAATTCAAAATCAGCAAATTTTGAGGGATTCTGTCAAATTCTTTATGACCTGGCTCTTGCCAAATATCCTTGGGAGAAGAATAAATCACTTGCTTTCAGGCAATATGTGAAGCACAGTGTATTCTCAAAGAAATTCACTGAGAAAGAGAAGAAGTTTGAAAAGGTACTAGATGAGCTCTACTCCCCTGGAGTGCAAGATTACCTTGCTGATAAGAAGAAGATGGTCTACTATGTCGAACTCTTTGAAAACAATTGCAAGGAAATTCATGCTGATGGCAAAACAGTTAAGGTTATTGATATAATCCAGGCGAATAAACTGTCGATCGATCTAGGAATCATCCCAGATGTTATCTCTAAGCTGAACTTTGTGAAGTTGTTTAAGTTCTGCCAACCCTCTGAAAACTCACTGTCAAGTAGAGCAAAGTACAGAGAGTATTTACTCGAGGAGGAATTCAAGCATCTAATTGCAGCCATTGGTATCTTTGTGTTCAACCAGGACGCTGAATTGAAGAACAAATATCATGAAAGCAAGAAGCATTCCTCCTCAAAATTGAAGTCGGAGCAGAAAGCAGCAGCTGTGATGAAGCAATATACGAAGGAAAGATAATGAATTCAATGTTTTGGTTTACAAGAGGGGTTTTGGGGTTTTGGGGTTTTGGGGTTTTGGGGTTTTGGGG